AGCGCCTCATGAGCAGGTTTAGGTTAGGTTGCCTTGCTCAAGGGCACCTCAGCAGTGCACAGGAGGTGAAACTGGCACCTTTCCAGCTACCAGTCCACACTACATATTGTGGTCTGTGGGATTTGCCCAAGCCAAGCCCCTACACATTGAGCTACTGCCAGCTAAGCTTTATTTATGACAATAGATCCTCCTGAATGTTACACACTGTATGATGTGTCTATATGTCGCTTTTGTCTTTAGACCATCTTCAAAATGTGGTTGTCTTTTCAACATAGATGAGTCTAGCACATAGCATATCTAAGTACAGGAGAAAGGAGAAAGTTGACTAAGGTTTGGACCAAAAACTTATTTGAGCACAGAGCAAAAAAGGAGTGGGTTTTACTTACTTACTTACTGAAGGGTCAATTGTAAAAATGACCAGATTGTGGCAGCAGCAATGCTCTATTTGAGCATGTTAATAGTCTGGTAGAGCGTTTTGTACGAGCAGAAGAAGAGAGTCACAATAATAAAACCTGGAGCAAATAAAGTATGAATGATGTCCTTTCACTGGCTTTCAAAGGCAGAAGAGTTGTTTTTCTCTCCCTGTAGAGTGTAGAGTAGGTGGTGGGTTAATTGCTATTATGAAGAAACCATGATTGAGGGAGGACAAAACAAGTGATCCCAGGTTTCAGGAAAAAAAAGGTGCAAGAGAGTGTACTAACCTGTGTAACTACGCAGAAAAAAGCCCTGGGGATAGGTATAACAGCTACCCTGAATATACTGAATGTAAGGGTTTGTGCGTTTACACCACAGCTCATTTGTCACAATCCACATATCAGGTGTCTGAATGCTTCTCTTTCTGTCCTTCTCATCTGTGTTAATACATTTATTTTGACACAGCTACTCCACATTAAGATGTAACTGCTGACAGCATCATTTCGCTGTGGACACATGGCACTCTGGCACTCTGGTCCATGACAGTGAAGAGTGATAGTGCAGCTGTTCTGCCAAGGAGCCTTGCATTTAGACATGTCATTAGGTCTCCAACTCACACCTCCATCTCTGGGTAATTGGTGAGAGCTTTGTTTCCATAGTAACCGTCTCCCGCTCTGATTTGTACATCTAGGTTTCTGTGGAGGTAAAAGAGTGAGACACTGATGATGGTCATGATAATGTGTTAATGGCTGCCACGATAACTATTGATACTACTACCGGATTTACATGACTTCTTGTTGCCAGGTTGCTCCCAGGTTCTTTCTTTACTTGCTTTTTGGCTGTCTTCTGAATAGAACTGTCTTCCCATTCACAAAAAGTATAACATTTACAAAACTGTAAAACTAATTTTAGAATCTTTACATATTTCATCACAAATTGCTTTACATTGCCTATTAGACCAGGTTCAGAGTTTTTCAAGTTTATCTTAATACAATATTCCCATATCTTTAAACACTGAAAGAATTGGTCACTGTAATCATTCCTCCTGTCCACCATATTTGTAAACTGAACCCTTTATTGTGCAATTCAAAGTTACAGTATTTGGGATGGTATCCCCTTTTGTGTTTCCTTAAAGTTGCAACACCAAGAGGGGATTTCCGACTTGGTTTTGTTTTTAGATTTTGTGATGAATTATCAATTCAAATTCTTTTTTTTCTCCCCAACTTTTTTAAAGGGTATTCCAGCTGTTTAGACCTGCTAGCCAATAATGTTGGACGCACAACTGATAGAGGAACAAAAGCATCAAATTCGATGCAGAAGAACCAGAGCTATCTTTTTTTTTTATTGCATTCCTCCTGCCTACATTACTGTACACACAATTTAACTCCACAATGCCTAATGTTGCCTGCAGCAGAGATGGCGAGTAGCTACAGAGATCTGGTAAGCTCACTTCTTTAAACTTCAAGATTTTTGTGAAACGTGAAATCCCTAAAGGACATTTATCAGATTATATTATTTTAGTTGAAAATTGTTCTTAAATGGTCTTCATTACTAAACAGAGTTGTGTTTCATCAAATGAATGCATGCTCCTGCCATTCAGTAGTGGTCTGGTGTAATGTGTACTTGACTGAGAAAGCATATGAGCATATTTTATGTTGCTTGTGAAAAACAGGACAACTCATTGATACTAAAACTTGATTTTCTTTTTTTTTTTTTTAATGATCTAAATGGCCACATTGGAGCTATAATTACTACTATTATACCCAAAGCAGAGCAGTGGTTCTCACCCACCTTGATAATCTCATCGATGAAGCACACGTGAGTGACAGGGTCTCTCTTCTTCATCAGGACCTTCTGCAGATGTTGCACCTGGAAAAAAATACAGCAAAGAAAACTTCATCAGTCCTGCTAACTGCCTCACTCGGTTTCTGTTTTTAATGTTATTCAATGCTCTGCACAGTCAGTCATTGGTCTCAGGTAGCCACGTACCTGTCTGCACGCAGCGCATATCTGGTCCATCAGTTTCTCCAGGTTGGTCCACAGAGCAGCACGGAAAGCCGCGGTGTTGCCTGGTGTTGGCAGCACCGCTCTGCCTGGTGCACCTGGGGGGAGAAATTCACTACATGTGTGGGTTGTGTTTGTTTGGTGATAAAATGGGATGAAGGTACTGGTTTCACAGGAATCATGTAAGAAAACATACAACACAGAAAGCATTTGTTTCTGCAAGAAATGCAGGAGTCAATAAGAGGAGCCTTTCTGACATGTCTCGCCATGGCAACAGCTCAATATATGCAGCGGCCAGTAGCTCATTAGAACTATTGCTACATTTTTCTTTTATTCTGTATTGTTTTCGGCTTTATTGCTGAAAACATCATTGAATGATATCTGATTGGATTCAGTTTTAAAGGGCTAAGCCAAAATTGTTCAGATCGACTGGATCAGGGTATTTTGACTATAGCAAGGGCTTAGTATTCAGAAGCTGCAGTTGGTTAGCTTCTTCAAACTTCTCTGTTGTTTTAATCCACTCTTCGCTTTATTGCTTAAACACATATTACCTATGACAGAAATAGCCTACAGGCATTGGAAAAGTAAGCGTGGGCTTTGGATTAAAGAGCAGCGGACCTTGAGGACGATCCACCCAGCCAGACCGGTGACTGCTGTGGTCACCCCAGGAGGAGAGGAAGAGAGCCGGGATAGGAGCAGAGCTGGACCAGCTTGGACTTAAGGCTGCTCCTGGCTAATGTCCGGTGTGCACAAAATGGGATTCAGGTTGGCCAAACAACAGGAAATCAGAAACTGTTGCCCCCACATCTTAACAGAGACCTGCTCCATCAACATCCAGAATAAGGCAGTCGTGACTATATTATCAACACTATGTTGTTGCTGCTGTTGCAACAGATGCAAATTCAAAAGATGCACTGTAGAATTCTCTCCTGGGTGTATGTATATAAACTAGAAAATTCCTAAAGAAATTTTGAGTGTGCCTGTCTCTGGCCCGTATATTAATACCATGTCATACATGTCAAGTGCTAGCTAGCTTGCTAGCGCAAGCATTTTAATACCTTGTCATTCTCTCTAGCTAGCTATGTGCGTGCGTGTATGTTCACAGGAAGGCTTTG